GGAGGGCGCTAGCTTGTTTTCTGCTGCTCTAGAGAATAGGACCCGGAATAACGGATGCAAGCTACAGGAAAAGAGATTCCACTTGAACATTAGGAGTAAGGGCTGTGGAGAGTGGTAGAATCTCCTTTGGAGGTCTTTGAAGAGAGGCTGTATGGCCATTAGTCAGGGTGCTTTGATTTTGAGTTCCTGCATGGCAGAATGGGGTTGGACTGGATGGCCCTTGGGTCTCTTCCAACTTTATGATTCTATGATTCTATGAAATATATAGTTAATGTAGGTAGATAAGTAGGTAGGGATGGATGGATGAATAGACATACCCTCCAACTGTCCTGATTTGGCAGGACTATTCCAATTAACCCTCTGTCACCCCACTTTTTCAGCTGCTTTTAAAAAGTCCCAATTTCTTTCTCCTCCTCCCACTTTCCTTTTGCTCTCAGCTTGCTTATTTTCTCTAGGATCTCTGGAGGATTCCTGGACAGTACTGGGGAGTGCCTTCACCATCATTTGTCTAGTCATAGGGATATATACTTCTGAGATGTCTCCAACTATAGATGTCCTTGCAAGAACATACAAAAGGTAGGTTTACAGCAGGGGTAGGCAACCTTTTTGAGACCCGGGCCGGTCTCCCGTAGCCCAGGTCTCGGCTGGGCTGAGGGTGGGGGGATGGCGGTGCGCATACGCACGCACCCTCCACCGACGCGCGTGACCCCCCCCCCGCACATGCAGCCGCCGCCGCCGGCGGCATGCATGGCACGGCGGCCGCCGCATGTACGGTGGGGGTCGCGCGCGTTGGTGGAGGGTGCACGTGGGGAGGCTTCCCTCGGCAGCGACGGGCCTCCTGGAAGCCCATCGCCACCGAGGGTTCCCCCGGGGAGGCTTCCCTCGGCGGCGACGGGCCTCTTCCTGGGCGCCGCGCGCACTGCCGGTGCTGCAACTGCCATTTTGTTCTCCAAAATGGCAGTTGCAATGCGTTTGCGTTATGGGCGCCATTTCGTTCTCCAAAATGGCGGTTGCGGCGCGCGCAGCTGAGCGGCGACCAAAACGGTAAGTCCGGCGACCTGGGCTGGAATCGGCCCAGGGGCCGTAGGTTGCTGACCCCTGGTTTACAGGGACAGGAGATGTGATGCAGAAAGGTTAGGTTATGTCTCTGGGATGCCAGACCTCAGCTGTTATTTGTAAGCAGTTGCTTCCAAACTCTGGCTAGTGCTGCCATATGGGGCTGTGTCGCTCTCCAGATTTCTCCTCTGCTCAATAGTTGTTGGAGGATGCTTTCATTTCAGTGGATCCACTGTAGGGTTTAGTTTGAACTCTAATGGAAATACCAAGGTGCTGGAATTCTTTGAGAAACAGAGTTAGGCCCTTTGGATAGCTCCTTAAAGGTCTAATTAAGCCTGGAGTAGACTGATTATTAAGAATTCAAATTGTTCCAAATTTCCTAATTGATTAGGAATGGAAAAGGTACTAGACAAAATCCTAAAGTGTAAAGACATACAGCTGAATACTAAAATTAGAACAATCCAAGCCACTGTATTCCCCATCGCCATGTACGGATGTGAGAGCTGGACAGTGAAGAAAGCAGATAGGAAGAAAATCAATCCATTAGAGATGTGGTGCTGGAGAAGAGTGCGGAGGATACTAGATGACCAAAAAAACAAACAAGTGGATCCTAGAACAAATCAAGCCTGAATTCCCTGGAAGCAAAGATGACTAAGGACCAATGCAGACCATCATTTTAGGCCAACCTGGGGGTGGAGTTGGGGCGGGGGGGAATTGCATGCTTGCCACCTCGATTCTGCCCCGACTCTGCCCCAACGGCATGTGCCCGTCCACAAGGCGCGTGGCATCAGTGTGCCCTCTTGGCGCAGCGTGCACACACGCTGTGCCAAAAGGGTGCAAAAGAGCTGCGGTGGTGGCTCTAAGGGTGGCTTTCTGCCATTCCCAAAAGGAGCAGCAATATGCCGCTCTTTTGGGGGTGGCAAAAAGGAGGATCAGGGCCACGGCGTGTGGTTGCTGGGCCCCCAATCTGCCGCTCCCAGGGGTGGCCCAGAGCAGCCCCAAACGGGCCTTCTGCATCAGCCCTAAATTAAGGCTGTCGTACTTCAGCCGCATCATGAAAAGGCAGGACTCATTAGATAAGACAGTGATGCTGTGGAAGGTAGAGGGCAGTAGAAAGAGAGGAAGACCACATACCAGAAGGATAGACTCAGGGCAGTTGCAGACCGGCCCAAAGGACTGGCCTGGGGGTAGAGTTGGGGTGTGGCAGCCTCATGCCGGCTGCCCCAACCCCATCCCGACACCCTTCCGGCACAGCATTTAAACATGCTGCACTAAAAGGGGGCTGAAGAGCTGCGGCACCGGCTCCTAGGGCGGCCTTTTGCCACCCCTAATAGGAGTGGCATTTTGCCACTCTTTTGGGGGCGGCAAAAGGGAGGATCAGGGC